GATGTGTAAACAATGAATGTATCATCAATGGCATTGGCTGTTAGTGGTCATTTCTAAGATATATATATCTTATATTCATGTTTTTTTGAGTACGTTATAAATGAGGCTCTAAAAGGTGTCTGTCTAAAAATATAAATATTAGTATTGCATACTCAATAGTAGGAAAACATTTAATAAATATGCGGCTTTGCTTTATGTTTGGGCTCATTTTTAGTCAAATATAAAAACCTAACAAAAGCCTTCGGGTCCAGTAACTACGGGTCCATCATAAAGTTCACCCTTGACTGAAGGCTTTTTAAGTTAGAAAATTGGAAATCTTAACCTGCATTTCTTAATTATTATTGTAATTCTGCAACTTTAGTTAATTTGACTTCTGGCTTATGCTTTTTCAGATAAAAAATTTCAAATTTACTCAATTAATTAAAACCCATTTAATTTGGTAAAGATTGAAATATGACCTTATCTCAAAAAGAAAATACAACATCACATGTTCTGATCAATCACATCTGATCTGCAAAATAAATAAAGGCAGTGAGGAAGCAACACTGATTACCTTTACCATTACCTGCTCCCTTGATTTCAGCAGCTTCTGTTCCAAATGTGTGCTCTAAATTACAGATTGATTCACTGACAGAAAAAAAAACAAAAAATTTTTTTAAAGGCTTTTATTTAAAAAATTGTTAGTTTCTCCCAAAAATTCAAGCATATCTCTAAGAACTAAAGCTTGCACAATATTTTTTATTTAGTGTACAACATAAGGAGCTGAAGCTTTTCCATTAAACAAGACTGAAAACCAACAGCAGAGTTGTACAAATATACCCCGATGTGTTCAATTACTTTTAAACCATTATTTTTGCTGAAAACATTAAAACAATTAAAACTTCCTTCGTTAAAATTAAATGACAGCAATGCAGAGCCAAACAAAGAACAAACTGATCAAAACCAAATATGAAGGACAGTACAAAAAACAAGTTTCATACAGGAAGAAGGGTCTGAGCAGACGTCTTATACAACACGTTTTCAGCTGCAGAAGCGGAAACCTTCTGAGGTCACAGAATCAGATCCTGACCTGATTCAGCTGTTTCTTTCTATCAATAGAGCAAAGGACTGAAAGATACTGTGACGCAACACTTCACAGAAACTGCCAATCCTTCAACATCTTAGCAGAAAGAAACGAGAGAAAAGGTGTGATATTTGATATGCTTTTAGAATATAACCTTAGCCTTTTGGAAACAGATCAAAAAAAAAAAATAATGTACAGTACCAAAATAGAAATAAATCAATCCTTAGACATTATGGGCAGTGCAATACTCACCATTTGGCCTGTAGGTGTCTACCAATTATTGAAAAGTAAAAATAAAATCAAACAACAAACTGGAAAAGGAGTGAAACTGAAGGTGACAGCTCAGCAGTACACACAGTTTAGACATCCTGGATTTTCATGGCCTCCTGCGGCCAGCTGTATGTATCCAGAGTGAAGGAGTCGTAGTCAGGACTGTAGCTCTGTGACAGCACAAACGCCTCCTTATCCTTGGGCTCGGGGTACACTGAAGCTATGTTGTGTTTGTAAGCATAGTTGACAACCTGGAAAGGCAACAAAACATCATGAGGTGAAGGATCTTTCAGCTACCTGCTGTGGTCTGATCTACAGCTCTCTCTGCTGGTTCTAGTATGTACTGCAGACATTTTACTTCTCCCTTTGTTCATCACCTCTTCAGTTTGGCCACATTTTTATATTATAGTCATTATTAGCATGTAATGCTAAGCAAAAATGCATTACCTTAAAATACCACTTCTAGAATTAGGTCAAATTAATATCAACTTATAATAAAAAATGGTAATTGTAAAACAAACTCTTTGGTTTTCATCACATAGAATGATTATAAATGTATTGTCATTTTTTATCTTGGTAATCTAATTTCAAGGAAATCAAAATCTATTACAGAGTCAAATATTTCAAGAATCACTTTATTTTGATGATTTATTGGGTAAATCTAGTGAAATGCCCAAACAAGTGTCTCAAAAAACTAGAATATCAATTATGACCATTTACAAATGAACTATGGTTCACACCAGTAGTTTCCAAAGTCAGCGCTCTGCAGTTTTAGTTCTTTCCCCACACTTGAAATCACATCAATGGTTCAGTAGAAGGTCTTTACTGCAGAAAATAACAGTGAAGAGCTAAATAAAGTGTTTTTATCCAGCATTTTTAGATCAGGAAAATTGACCCATGAAGAATGGAGCAGAACACACCTGGGCTGTTATCAAATAGTGCAAATCAGTAAGGACCAAAGAGGAAGTGCATCAGCAGTGACCACAAGTGCTATACGAAGGCTGTAGCCCTAAATTGGCAAGCATCAATCATGTCTGTCATAATGACATCCCTAAGGCGGTGTTCTTACTGCTTAAAGCTAAAGGGATCAGGAGCTAAGAAGAGGAGCTACAATTCACAGTATTTCCAGTCAGTTAAACAATCATGGGGATAATGGGTATAATAGTTGATTCAGCAGCAGAGAAGGTAGGCCAAGAAATGCTGTGTCTGAAGAGGCTGGCTATTTGGTGTCATTCATATAAGCGTGCAAAAGAAAAGCTGAGAGAAACTTGATTGGAGGTGGAGCTGCATACACACGGTAAAACGTTCATAATTAAAAACTCTGCTGAACTTTACTACCCATTATCAACCCTTACTTTCCTCACTGCCACCCTTCAGTCATAACTTTACTCTCACTTTGAGCAGTCCTGTTGCATTGGCAAATGTAGCCAGAGATACAGCAGCAGCTTTTTAAGTCTACAAAGATTTTCAATGGACTGATTTCTGAGTAGAACTACCCCAAACTAGAGGACGTCAGATGAGTGTTTTTCTGGGCTAATGAGTCTTAGTGGATCAAAGTCCTATTTCAGAGGAAAAGTCTATTCATTTAAAATTAAGGACTAAAAGCCTGGAAAAAGAGTGGAGACAAAATCCAAGCTGCTTTAGTTTCTGTAGTCATTGAGGATTTGAGCAGCCATTTCATCTCCTGCTGTTAATCCACAGTGTTTAAAAAAAAAAAAAAAAGAATGAGGATATGAGACAGCAGATGAGAAGGCAGCTGAAAATCTCAGCAGAGCCACAGGCCGACGCAGTAATTCGTAGAAAAGGCGCTTCAAACAAATTTCTGTCCTATATCTGGGTTTATGCAACATTTTGAGATCCAAATAAAAAATACATTGTGCATGAAGTCCCTTACCTGCACCGCTATCTTAAAGGACACTTCTCTTATAGTGCTCAGAGGTGGGTAAAGTCTTCCTTCAGCCAGGTTCTCTTCAGTTACCATGCCAGCTATCGCCTGGCAACAAAAAACACACAGCAGATATAATGAATCCTGAAGTGGAGAAATATACAGCAGACGTGAGGTAACAGCTTAAAGAGGTGTTAAGTAATGCACAGAGTCCATTAACCATCCATAGCATACAGCAGAAACTGCTCCAGTTTAGGTGTTTGTTTCTTTTAAGTAAGGAACCAACCTCTGCAGTAGTGAGGAAGATTTCTTCAGGTATGTGACGAACTCCGCAGGATATAACACCCAAAGCAACTCCTGGGAACACGTAGGCGTTGTTTCCCTGACCGGGGAAGAAGGTGCGTCCGTCTGCCAGGGTCACTTTGTCAAACGGACTCCCGCTGGCAAAGATGCCTCTGCCCTGATCAAGGAGAGGTGAGGTTATTGGCTGATCCTGGTGCATGGAGTTTTTTCATTTCTATTAGAGCGTTAAAAAAGACATGCATTCATTGCCAATTATTCACACTAGATGAAGTTTTCCCCTTTTTGTCTTAATGCAATGACAAACAAAGCTTGGTTTAATTTAAATGTTAGCCATATAGCTTTAGTCACGCACTCTTTAAATCTAGCATCAATGAACAAGGGACATAAAGATATTCATTAAAGAAAATGCCAAAACACAACTGTAGTTTGTTTGCATCAGTCACAGAAAACAAGTGATTAAAATGAAGAAAAAAAAAATCTTTGCACTAATTCCAGATGGTCACTCAAATAAATGTTTAAGCTTGTGATTCGAATATGAAATATTTTTTTTAAAGCTCTTAGGCATGAATATTGCTATATGTTCCTGTACTGTAGTCAACCAGTGGGTACGGAAAGTATTCGGACCCCTTTAAATTTTTCACTTTTTGTTTTATAACAATCAGTTGCTAAAATCAAGTTCATTTTATTTCTCATCAATGTGCACTCAGCACACCATGTTGACAGAAAAAAACAAATGTAGAAATTTTTGCAAATTTATCGATGCGTTGATGCATGCATCAAGCCCATAGAGCAAAACACTGTATCGCTGCGCGTGTCACTTCAAGAAAGTCATGTGACCGATCTGTCAACACGATGCATCTGCTAAACAAATGACTCATATTTTGCGGTTTATCGTTTAAAACTATCAAGAAATTTGGAGCAGCCTAAAAGGAAGCATTTTTATTTTAATTTCCTCATTTTGTCATCCGTTTCCTCTCAGTTATCACTCAACTTATCTGAATTTAAGTTAATTTTAAATTGACTCTTAGTTTTTTTTTTTATTACCGTTTTTACTGTACTTATTGTTTTAAAAATATGATTTAAAATCCTAGTCCACAAGCATCCTCATTCACATTCTCCCCAAAATGTTCACATTATGAAATTGGTTCACATTATTTATTTGCTGCATCTAAAATATCAAAGATATTTTCAATTTAAACATAGATATGAAATAATACAATATAACCTAAAATAACTTAAATTATAACATTGTACTAGGTCATCAAATCAATTTACTTTAGTCTGTCAAATAAGCTGCCTGTAGAGTCTTTAAAGGTTCAGCAGGTGTCAGTATTCTGTGAGACAGTATCAACGCAGTATCAATACAGCTTGGCATTGTGTCGAAACGATTTAAGATGCCTTATCATTAGTCATAAGTATTCAGACCCTTTGCTGTGACAATCATAGTTAGCTAACATGCTGTCCATTTCTTCTGATCCTCCTTGAGATGGTTCTGCTCCTTCATTGGAGTCCAGCTGTATTTAATTAAACTTAACAAATTGGACTTGATAAAGAAAGGCACACACCTGTCTATAGAGGACCTTACAGCTCACAGTGCATGCCAGAGCAAATGAGAATCATGAGGTCAAAGGAACTGCCCAATGAGCTCAGAGACAGAATTGTGGTAAAGCACAGATCTGGCCAAGGTTACAAATGAACTTCTGCAACAATCAAGGTTCCAAAGAGCACTGTGGCCTCCATAATCGATAAACGGAAGAAGTTTGGGACGACCAGAACTCTTCCTAGACCTGGCTGTCCTGCCAAACTGATCAATCGTGGTAGAAGAGCCTTGGTGAGAGAGGTAAAGAAGAACCCAAAGATCACTGTGACTGAGCTCCGGAGATTCAGTAGGGAGATGGGAGATAGTTCCACAAAGTCAACTATCACTGCAGCCCTATCAGAGTGTCCCAATGGAAGCCTCTCCTCAGTGCAAGACATACGAGCCTGCATCGACTTTGCCAAAAAACACATGAAGGACTCCCAGATTTTGAGAAAGAAGATTCTCTGGTCTGATGAGACCAAGATTGAACTTTCTGCCGTTAATTCTAAGCGGTATGTGTGAAGAAAAACCGGCACTGCTCATCACCTGCCCAATACAATCCCAACAGTAAAACATGGTGGTGGTAGCATCATGCTATGGGGGTGTTTTTAAGTTGCAAGGACAGGACGACTGGTTGTAATTTATGGAAAGATGAATGCAGCCAAATACAGAAAAATCTCGAAAGAAAACCTCTTCCAGAGTGCTCAGGACCTCAGACTGGGCCAAAGGTTCATCTTCCAACAAGACAATGACCCGAAGCAAACAGCTAAAATAACAAAGGAAAGGCTTGAGAACAACTCTGTGACCCTTCTTGTTTGGCCCAGCCAGAGCCGTGACATAAACCAAATTGAGCATCTCTGCAGGGACCTGAAAATGGCTGTCCCCCTACGCTCATCCAACCTCCAACCTAACAGAACTGGAGTAGATCTGCAAGGAAGAATGACAGATGATTCCAGAATCCAGGTGTGAAAAACTCATAGCTGTACTAGCTAAACATAGCACTTCTACTGAATACTGAGCTAAGGGTCTGAATACTTATGACAATGTGATATTTCAGTTTTTCTTTTTTTATTAAACTTACAAAAATTACTACTTTTTTTTTCAAGATGGGGTGCTGGGTGTACATTAATGAGAAATGCAGTTAACTTTATTGATTTTAGCAAATGGCTGCAACGAAACAAAGAGTGAAAAATTGAAAGGGGTCTGAATACTTTCCGTACCCACTGTATATAAACCCTTGCCACTGTACCTTGGTGAGTGTGGTTGATTTTAGCAAATGGCTGCAACGAAACAAAGAGTGAAAAATTGAAAGGGGTCTGAATACTTTCCGTACCCGCTGTACATACTGAGCTATCTTACCTCTGTGAGTTTGTAGCATTGCTCTGCTGTGCACTCAGCCTTGCTGGTAGGATTACTCAGAGCAAAGATGATGGGCCTCTCGTTAAAAGACACCATGTCTTTAATGATCTTCTCGGTGAATGCTCCTCCGATTGCAGCAACACCTTCGGGACAAACTCCAGTTATTTTTCTTGCAACAACAATAAAGAATTGAGGAAAAAAAGACACCATTGTTTGTTAAAAATTAAAGCTTAGAAATTATATTTGATCACTTTATCAGCTCAATTACTTTTTTACTAACATTTTTTATTTTTTTTACTTGGAAAGCTATAAACCTTGAAACATCCCTGAGATGTTAGAACAATTTGACAGTTCATTTTACATGCATTTATTTCTTTTTTCTAGTGTCAAACCATTAAGTTCAGCATCTAAGTTTTTTAATGGATCATATTAAAGACGAAGAAGTGAGAAGGCATTTGGTTGCTACGGTGCGAGGAAATACTACATGAAAAGAGTCACCTTTATACAGACTTTCACTGAGTTTCCATAACTGGTCAGGAACAAAACAAATGTGGGTTAAATAATGACTCAAACACTGTGCTGGTGAAGTTTGCACTCATTTTTACCAACACTGAGAAGTAGCTCTCTCACCAATGATGGCGGTGGGTTTAATGGTTTCTACCACCTCCTCCAGAGTCTTCAGATGCGGATGATCGTGGGCAAACTCGGCTTTCTCATGGTTTAGGTTGCCTCTGCCCTGTAGGATCAATAACTTTGTTTATTTTCCAAACTTATGATGATTTACACACAGGAACACATATTATGATGATTTACCTTCACAATAAGACCTTTAGAGTCCACCATCCAAATTCTTTTTGCTGCATCTTCTCTAGATACTCCCTCTTTGGCCATGGCCATCATCAATAGGTGGGCGATACCCATAGCAGCCTGTCAGATAATAAGTTTTAATCTCCAAGTCAGTTAATGTTAGTTTAAAATAGATTATCTGCGCTGAAGAGGTTTGGTTCACCTCTACTCACCTCGCCTGCTCCCTGGAAAACAAAGGTGTGGTTTAGCAGCTTGTCCTTGGTGATCCTCAGGGCAGCAAAGATTCCCGCTACAGCTACAGATGCTGTGCCTGCAGGGAGAACAAACTTATTTCTCTTGAAGAGAGATTAGATCCCTATAATGAAACAATGTCTGCTTGTGATTCATTTTAGATCACAAATATCAGACAAAAGTAAAGAGTGGCTGGTAAGAATGTCCAGACCGCTGACAAAATCTCAGTTTTTTGCAATTATTTCAAAGCGATACAAGAACACAAAGTGATACATGATCATGAAATGGAGCGAACGTGATGTACTGTTTTTATTTTATTTTGGTGTCATGAAAATGGTGATATAAAGAGATTAGCCTTCTTTCTTTAAATCAGCAGGACTCAGACAATCCGTGCATTTCTGAGTCTTTTCCTACAATTACAACTGCAAGCTTTTTTGTTTTAGAGTTAATAAAAGATTTTTTTTAAACAGCAAAATATTACATGACTTTCTAAACACAACCTATTATTTTTGTTTAATATCTACCGTAGAAAATGTGTTTCCACCTTAAACAACCAACACTTTATTGTATTATATTAGCTTTTAAAAATAATGTCAGAAAATTGTTCCATAAGAGGAAGTATGGATTTTCTTATATAAGCTATTATTTGATGTAAAAAGAGAAAAAAAATCTGAGCTAATTGAAAGAAAAAAAAGCTCTAATGCCTTTTTCTGGGTTTTTTTAATGTCGTTCTGTAGTGAAAATTCAAAGATTCTTTCTAAAAACCAATAAAACATCTAAGACTAGTATTTGTTCTTACTGTACATTAGTTGTTTAGATCATCTTAGCCACTATTAGGAGCCATTGTAGATGGTCCAAAGAGCCACAGGTTGCAGACCCCCTGATCTAGACTAACATTTCTGCTCAGCTCTGGCATGAAATAACATCGGCTCATGCTTCATGTCCTTCAAACTTCATCCATGCTTCTTTATCGAAGAGCAGCATGTCTCAGTAGATATGCACATTTAATATACTCATGATGACAGACTTAATGCAAAGTTTGGAATTGTATTTTAATAAGCCAACCTGGTTTTAAACTTCTAGGACCTCAACTTTATCCCCAATACATCTCATGTGTTCCTCAGGGTTCAGGTAATTCTTATGTTCAATCGGCTGCACGTGAAATGATGACATGCTACGACCACCATTAAAATCCTTTCACTTCCCAGTAAAGCCTTACTTGGTTTGCTGATGAATATTAAATCCCAATAAAATATACAAAAGGGTGAAATGAAAAAAAAGGTAGAAAATCTTGTTAACAAATGAAAATGTTTCACTTTAAATCTGTATTTCTCAAACTCTGACCATATGAATGCAGTACCGAGACAGATCCTCTGGATAATGTACCTTGGATGTCGTCGTTGAAAGTACAGTATCGATTTCTGTATTTGTTAAGTATACGAAAAGCGTTGCTGTTGGCGAAGTCCTCAAACTGGATCAGGCAGCTCATCCCGTACCTGCAGAGGAAATGCCCCATCAGCCATGCATCAGAATCAACAACTCTAACTTTAGTAACGTGATTCTGGCTCACTTGTCTGTCACGGCCTGCATGAACTCCTCGATGAGCTCGTCATACTCCTTTCCTCGGATTCTCTTGTGCTTGAGGCCGATGTAGAGAGGATCATCTAGAAGTGCCTGGATTGGAACAGAGCGGATATTTCTGTGAGACGCCGCCTTCCTGAATCTGTTTTGAGTTAAGCAGGCCTAGAAAGCATCATGATCGTCCTCACCTGGTTGTCGGTGCCAACGTCCAGCAGCACAGGGAGACACTGCTGCGGAGGAACGCCACCGCACGCCGTGTAGAGAGCCAACTTCCCAACCGGAATTCCCATCCCATAGCTGCCCAGGTCCCCCAGTCCAAGGATGCGCTCTCCATCTGTCACCACGATGGCCTGGACAGACCACAAACGTCACCTCCGATGTTATATTACAATGCTCCTCCAGATCCAGACTCCTGGATTTATTTCCTGTTCAGTTTTATCACATTTTAAACCTTTAAGTACAAAGTATTAACTTAAACCTCCTCAAGTTTTGCTACTTGTAGATCACAAAAAAGACCAAAGAAATCATACATTTAGATTTAGATTTTTAGATTGGCACAGAGCCTTAAAACTGCTCCTGTTCAATCTGGACTTAAACTGAGGCTTCTCCACTTCTCTAACTCTTATTCTAAATCTGATGGAAGCAGACTCTTTAGAGCCCACCTTATTAATCTGTGGCAACTTGATTTTGACCATGCAGATTCCTAAAATGAGCAGTTTAATGCTATGCTTTTAAGACTAAGTTGAAAGCCCATCTTTAAAATGTCTTTAGACCAAAAAGGTTTTTAAAAAATCTCTTATTGAATTTTGGATATTAGTGAACATTGTTATTTGTCAAAACATAAAACAAATGCGAAAAATGTTAGAATGAAGCTGTGATTTAGCAAATCAAAGAAGAAGAACATCCATTTAACAAACCAGTGTGAAAACCTCTGCATAGGTTTTCACTTTTGTCTTCTTGGAAACGTATACACAAAAAAAAAAGAAGTCCGGTAGATCCGATAATTAGCATTCTTACTTTCCACTAATGCATACTAATCCAGAGCTGGAAAATGATAACAACAGAGCAAGGTGTGTACCTTGATGTCATCCTCAGGCCAGGAGTTAAGCATGGTGGCAATGTGTCCACGGTCATGGATGGTGATGAAGAGTCCTCTGCAAACACACAGAAATGTGGAATCAAATTACACACAAAGACCGACATGCAGCAAATTATAAAGCCAACTTTACAAGAAACACTTTAAAGTTATAGTAGAGGATTTTAGCAGTTTTTCTCCTACAACCCTCGGCCATTTTCAAAGAAGCGCAGTGAGAAAGGTGAGCATCAAGGACTGTCTGAAACCGTACCTCAATACACTTATCCTCCTGAAAGTGCGTATGTGCAGACAAGGACAGTTACATGCTAAACAGCAACGCTATTTAGCACGTCGGATGGCCTTAAATCTATCACCAGAATGACTGACAATTAGGATGATCATTTATTTAGATGATTCACCCGGAAATTAAAGATACTCCTCTATACCTTTAGGGGCCGGATTTATCAAGATCCAATTTTGCGTGCAGTAATTTGCGCTCGCAAACTGGAATTTTGCGCGAGGGGCT